GTAACACAAAGGAATTAATAATATATGCAATTGTGCAATGGACAAGGAATTTCTACACGCCTACTACTGTTTGAAAGAACCTCTTAATATCTACGCAATATTGGGATCTCCGTATATTTAAATAAGTCATTATAGCATCGTTATATGGGGCGTATTGTACAGGTGCGTCGTGGTGTATAGCGAAAAATGAAGTTTTCGAAATTCATTTATCTTCATCATCCCTGTGTTTTCTTCTGTTGTCTTCTTCACTACACACAATCCATTTCTGTGGGAAAAGTTTCTTTGTTTCTTCTTCTTCCTCAATTTCTTCTTCTCCCACATCAGTTATATGTTGATTTTGCCCTCTGTTAAGTGAAAATTAGGTGACAATTATATATATTATTATTATTATTATTATTAGTAGTAGTAGTAGTAAAGTGTTGAATCGATCATATGAATAAAATCTTGTGACTGACTCTATCTAATAGTAGGATCAGCTTTGTTCGGTAATAAAAAACAGAAACAAATGCACAACAAAATTTAGAAAGTTTGAATAGCATTCACTTTGATAATGGAGAAAGTAGCTTTCTAGAAATGTGATTCTAGTAAATATTTGTTTCATACTTTTTCAAAATCTTTTGATCTCTGGTATTTCACTTGTTGAAATGTGATTTTATTTTAGATTATTTTTTTATAATATATATGTATATACAAACATTTAAAGTGGTACAGGTTTTGGAATGTGCACCTTTAAGTAACAATAGTTCACTTTTAAGTTACTATCGAATATATGAGTTTGACCAAGGATTGATATCAGTTAGAGAACCATTGAAAACCAGCACTGCAGTACTGGACAGCTGTTTCCTCCGTCCTAGTTTGGGAATCATCGGCAGTACGCACCCTCTTGGTTGGTTTCGAACCCAGGAGCTTCCTGTTACAAGGCAAACTAGCTCGTATATCATTTAGCCGTTGGGACCCGATTCAATGGCCAGCCTATGAATTCTAACTTCTACCGATTCGTGAATTAGCGCGACCACCAACCAGTATCGTCGGTGGGAACTCCGTCCTCACACACTTGACTGGATGGACCTCACTGGTCACGACTTCTCACTGGAACCCCAGGAAACTCTGTCCTGCAACCGGAAGGTCCTGGGCTCGAACCCCGGCAGTGGGTGCGTACTGCCGATAATTCCCCAACTAGGATGAAACACCTGTCCAGTACTCCCCACTGGTTTTCAGTGGTTCTCTAACTGATATCAATCCGTGGTCAGATTCGTATAAACAAATCTAATCCTTACAAACCAAACTTGAAAATATCGAATATATGTTGTCCAATGAAAAATGAAAACTTGGTAATTATAAGCTAAGCATTTCATAGCAAACAGGAATTCCAAAAGCATCCAAAGTACCTGGAAATAATTTCTATTTCTACTTTCTAAATTGGTCTGCTATCAAGGAGAATACGACATAGTAGACGGCGTGCAATACTTACTGTATTCACGCTAATAGAAATGTTTCTAATCTTCAGATGTTAGTTTGTAGGGATTTCACTGGTTTCAAGTTTGATTATGAACTATTAAAAACCAGGGTGTACTGGATACCTGTGTCGTTCTGGTTTGGGAATTTTCAGTAGTATGCTCAATCGAACAAATAACTTTCATGTTACAAGGCGAGGTCGTTGATTCTTCATTTCTAGCTTCACTTAACTCAAGGGCTGTTGGATTCCTTCTTACTGGCTGAATGAATACTCAACGAGCTGACTTTTTAACTTGAAGGTTCTGTTTATCAATCGCCGGTAGGGCGATGGGTGCGTGCTGATGAAGAGTTTCAGGCTAATACAAAACAGATGTCTAGTACTACCTGGTTTTAAATGGTTTTCCAGCTCACATGGATCCGTCATTCAACTTGGAACTGCTTTGATTACTAATTACAACGGCATCCTGAAGAACGGCAATACCGTGGGTACACAAAACAAGAGAAAAAGGTGGACTATTGTGACAAGACCGCTTTCACTGTTTCAAACAGCAGTCACAACAGCTAACGATGGTAGTGGGTTTATGTGTAGAATTTGAATAATTGCGACAATTTGCGATTATTCTTGCCTTCATTAGAGATGTAACAGCAGGGAAGATTGTTTAAGTCCTCTGAGCAGATATCCCTTTCTATCTGGAACTTATTAATCGTTAACTGTGATTACTGATGCTTGTATGCACTAAAGTTTTCTCTATCTCATCAATATATGAATGAAGTAGTTATTTTGATCTCAGAAAGCACACTCCTTCACTATGAACTAAACAGCTTCATTTCCCGGGAGTAAATAGGGAGAAGTGAAATAGCTTGATACACGAGCACCAGATCAATTATATTTATAGGCCTTCATCAGATTCATTTGTTTTATTGGCTCATTACTTCATGCTGCATCTGTCTGTTCACCAGAAATACGTTAATTCCCTTATTTTGCTTATTTTGTCTTGGTTTTAATTTCTTTTCCTTGAGAGAAAAGCGGGACTGCCATGGTGTTATCAATTTCATTATTTCCCTTCTTACTACACCGATTTTTGCCACCCGGCAACTGACACCTATATTTCATACGGCATATCCAAAAACCGGCCATACTTTTTTAAAAAATACTCTCGTTATTAATATCAGAACAAGACATATAAGTGAACAATATTGTTTTCAAATGAATCTCCTTCGGGCTTTACTCTAATTTACATGGATTTATATATAAAATTCTTTTAACCAATGACCGTGATTTGGTGGATCAAGTAATAATGGTAATAATAATAATAATATGGTAAATGTTTTGAACGTCAATAATAATGATGATTATAATGATAACGAAATAATGATAATGAGGTTTATGCAGGTGGTGCTAAGAATAACGAAGGTAGTAATATGTGTATATGTAGACAATTCAATAAATAAATTAGATCAAATCTTAAAAGTTACGTAAAACTAAAGGTGAAGTGGACAGATAATCAGAGTTTCAATAAATAAATATCACTGAAATACGAAGGAAATGGAAAATAAGAAAGGTTGGGAGGGTTTTAGTTAGACTTTACCTAGGCCAAGTAAGAGACAAAGGTAGAACAAACTTCTTTTGTTTGTGAAGACTACGGTTATTCCCTCGAATTCCCATAGCTTTGGCTATGTGTTGTAAAAGGTGGGTTTGAATTCCGTTCGAAAGGTTCGATGGAATGCGATAGATAACTTTGAAGACACTTCTTCTGTCCACTTGGTGACCGCTATCAATGAAATGAGTTAAAATAGAACTTCTTATAGATTTTACTTGACCTTTTCCAAACCATGAAGGAAGATGCTCATTATTACGTTTGTTGAGCTGTCTAGTTGTCCGTCCTATATAGCCAGCTTTCTCCATAGGTGCAGCTAAATTTGTAGATACAGATAGAAGTGACACAGCTCGGTAGCTTGTCTTTCACTTGAGTAATCATAGTTGGTCGGTTGGAAAATGAAAAACAAAGGGTGGTGGCACTATAATTCTGTTTTATTGCTCTCGATAATCTTAAATGTAAGACTTCCCTAGCCATGTCCCCATTAAATTGCAGTTTCAGGAACAGTTGTTTCTTTTTAACTGTTGTCACTTTCTCTTGATCATACCTGATGTTCATGAGTCTCCTTACAAATCTACTAGGATAACCCATTTGGACCAGCGTATTTTGGATGTATCCTAACTCATTTTCTAGGGAGACATCTGTACACATACGTCTTGCTCTATTCGCGAGACATCTGACCAAATTGATTTTGTATCGGATTGGTACAAAACCTTTTTTTTCTGAATTACTCTGATTCCTGATTACTTTTTTTACCTATGGCATTAAGAGGTATAACTCTTTTTGTATATGAACTGAATTTTTAATCCCTTCTCTAAAGATACAACCTTAATTTATTGTTGTATATGTGCACTAAATAGTGAAATCGAATTTTGCTTACTGAATTTTCTGTTATGAGATCCAAATATTCCTCTTTCTTCATTCGAACTATTATATTTGATTGTTGACCTGAGAACTGAATAAGGTCTCCATAGATCCATATGTTTTATAAATCTTATGATTTCTGTTCTAACTCTTTTTTATTTTCCCTTCGATTCTGTTTTAAACTGTTTTTCTAACTTACTACAACATTATATTTGTCAGGTTTTTACCCAGTGATGTATTATTGAAGGCCGGAATAACACAATATTAATGTCTTTGACTGCCGTACTGGGTAAAGCGCAACTTCGAATCTTAGATGGGACATCAGTTCCTGTGAACTGGTAGGTACTCCTAGCTCCCAAGTGGTAACAGCTACGAAACGTAGATACAGAGCTTCCCGCTGATTACCTCCAGCCGTCTCCGTCAGTGCTGTGTTATCACTGTATGTCGAATTAATTCTGGTACCATAGGGCCTTAAAGTATGCACACTAGTTCTCTCTTACTACCTACCTTCAAGCTTAATTCCATCTATTCTGAAAATTACCCAACCATTATCTAATCAGTGTCTTTTAACTACAACGACGTAAACCTTAAATGCATCATTAGTTCAAATTGTTATACTTTCTTTGAAACGGTACACGATTTACAAACAGTGAAATGGGATTATTTAAATCGATCGCATTATCAAGTTGATTAAATAATTACTTGTCTTTTTTGACCAACTTACTCCCCACCTCCCCTCACAACTGCTGTTGGACTGGTTTATTCTACTTCCCAAACTTTCATTGTGTATGAATTTCATTGTATTTTGGTTAATTAATAAGAAAACTTAGGGCACATAGTGGGGTGGTGGGTGGGAAAGGAGGAACACTCTCTCCTTCTTTTGTTGAGAGAAAATTTTCCTGTTATTTGTTTTGTTGTTGCTGTTTAGAAGAAAGGATAATATTTACAAATTTGATTGTTGGATCAAAATAATCACCTCTACTCTCTGATTGGTCAGTATCACTATCCTAGGTGAATTTTATCAACCAATCAAATTTTAGTGTGTACAAGGTGATATATTCTTGAGGTTTTTTTCCAGCGTTAAAATATTGAACTTTCATGAACGGTTTGTAGAGAGAATTTATATTTTAGATCTGTGGTTTTATTAAATAAACCATCCAATATTTTAAATTCAGGGATTATACAAATCGAAAAATGACTAATCAATTTAACTGTAATAAAATTGATGAAGACTTCAGGAAACTATTGTATTTATCTGATAATAATGAAAATAATAATAATAATAATACAAATTTGAGATCAAATCCTTCTCAGTTTAGTAAGTGGTTTATGTATTTTGTGTTTATTGCCTTTTTTGTAAGTAAATAATCTTTTAATGTTAGAATACTAATTCGGACAAGGTGTGTAGGGTAGAATGACCGACTGAACTCTGCGCAGAAGTGCAGTCGTTCAAGTTACCACACTTCATGTAGCCTAAAAAAGTAGAGAAAAGAGAAATTCAAAAGAAGAGTATAGTGAGCACATATGTACGAGAGAAAGAAAGAATCGATATCGTGAAACATCATGAGGGTTTAATGGGTAAACGAGAGGTCGTAAAGAGTAAATTCACATACGCCATTGAAAATGATTTAAAGCCATATCACACTAACAATCTTCAACTATTCATTCTTAACATTCTGAGGACCTCCAAGCAGACACTCTACACTTCCCTACTTGCGTCAATTCAGATGACAAAGACTTCATGGACTGGTGCCAGGTTTTGTTTTGACCACAACTAACTCTTTTCCAATATAATCCTATTTTAGTTGTATGGCAGAATATAATTCCGTTATGAAATAATTTTTAAATACCATAACGTTTTGAGCACAATTTATCAGAATGCTCCCGTAACTTTGTTTATATAATTCCATAATTTCTAATCCTTTGATTTTATTGGTAATAATATGCCCTTTCATGTCTGGGTTATCGGTGTTAAGTCCTTCTTATTGCAAGTGTTTGATTTATCTCAAAGCATATGATCAACTTATAAGATCACACGATAGAATGCGACTGACTGACCGACTGGTTTCAACGTAGAACTTTGCACAGATGTGCAGCAGTTTGAGTTGCCACACCCCATGTAGCACACAAAGCAAGAGAAGAGAGTAAAGAGAAATAATAAAAACAGAAATATGAGGCAAAAAGAATAGTAATATGGAAGAACAATAGAGCTTTATTAGATATGACAAATCACAAGGAGTGAATGCATCTGCACCAGCCATTGACGATGATTTTCAGCCATGTCACCAATTGTCTCCAGCCTTCATTAGTTCTTACCATCCTCAGGGCCCCTACATGGATGGCTTAAGCTAACTGTTATGGATTTCATTGACTGATGAAGCCATGTTTTGGTTTGACCACCACTAGCTGGCTCTTTTCCAACCTGATCTTATGTCAGCTAACATTGTCCGTCGAGGAAGGCTGTACGACAGACCTACACTACTCAAAAGTAGGATACTTAGGGGTTGATGATCTGTGGTCACTGAATCCTTCCTTATTCATCAAACTTTCGCCAAACACTTGCAATAGAAACGATGTAACAGAGAGGTATGAAGAAAATATTATTACCAATAAAATCAAAGGATGAAAAGTAGTGTGAGTATATAAACAAAATATTTTAAAGTTATATCAACACACTTTGATAGGATATCACTCCCTATAAACTGCTCACGAAACGTCATCAATAAATAGATAATATTGCATCACTATATATTTCATCATATGTAAATCATAATTTCCTATTCTTAACAGACTTCTCCTATCTATCCTAATGTAATTTAAGTAGTATCATACACAAAGGCTTGTAGCGCATTGTATCTGAGATTCTTCAAGCGTTAATCGTCAATCGTATGAGCGCCTAAGCCATCTATCTAACTGAAGATTAATGACTGTGAGTGGAACACACTCACTCGCTTCGGTGCCTTTCTGCTCATAGCCCTTTTTTGATACATTGCTCCCGCTCTTAGAATGTAGTGTTTTTTTATGAAAGGTTTAATCGTTTCTATGCCCTGTGTTGTTATATCAGTTTGCCTGTTCGTTTATTGGCTATGTCACATAGTAAAACAGTATTATTCTTTGATGGATGATGTTCCGAACACAAGTGGTTGCTCATAATCACAACAATAATAAATACACAACTTTGAAACTCCATTTTTATACTTCTCGTTCTTTCTTCCTGGACAGGTCTTAAATCCTTAGTGTTTCACGTACGCTCAGTTGTTTGGCTAAGTAAAGCTTCAGTTATCAATCTCTTCCTCTACCGTGTTATATTAGATTTTTAAGACTTTAACATGGTTCCACCCCATTGTACAGTTGTGTGCTAGAATTTTTAAAAATATTGTATTAGGCTCTGTTAATTCATATTTTGCTCCGCTGATCTAATTGATCTCGACCTACTACTTTGACTTATGTATCTGACCTCATAATCTTGGCAAAGTATTAAATAGACTAAATTATTTTGCTTAATTTTTAAAAAAAGTGCGTAACATTTTTTATCTGGTGTCGGTGGTGCTGAGGTGGAACGCTCGCCAACCACGTCTGTGGTCGCGGGTTTGGTTCCTGATCGACACACTCCTAAACCTCCATTAACCGGAGGTAAGTTCAATAAAAGAGGTTGGGTTGGGCTTGAGATTAACAACCCTTACCCCGTAACAATAACACATAGTACTACAGAAACTTCTAAGCTGAAGCCTAAAGCTCTATGTTCTACACACAGCACAAAAAAACAGAATAATATATATATATAGGCTTTTTATATTGTCCGCCAATGATTACGTGCATTTGTTTGGATTACTGTTTTCTTTATTCGCAGAAAAGATAAAGAAAACCGCTTTTTTGCACACTGATAACACGTTTTCACTCTTTGTTTTTTCTTTTGTACAAGAAACTAGAATTCTACTATTATTTTTTTGTTATTTGACGTCATCATCATGTGTTGATTGAGGGAGAGAGAGAGAGAGGGAAAGTGAGGGAATTAGAGAGGTTACGTGTTAACTAACAATTTATTGATATATGTCTGTCTCTTACATCATAATCTTCAGAATGGTTTTTCTTTCCTGTCCACCACAGTAACGTACACATACTTAAAATAATAGTGGTAAAATAAATAGAAGTATGAAATACGATTAAAATGTTTGTGTGCCTCACTAGATGTAATGACATATCTCTCAAAAGATCCATTCATAGAAGATGTGCATGGAAGAGACAACTAACCAATTTCTATACTTGGGTGCTTATCTCAGAGAAAAAATCTTGATTCATTCTCTTTGCCTATATATATTCTGCATTGACGCAGAACTTTCTTCCTAAAAAGTCACACTTGATAAAAAAATGGTTACGCAAACTGATTTATTGATAAAAGCACGAAAGATAATCAGTCCAAACTGATTACTAACTGTTTGGGAATCTGGAATTCAAAGGTGACAAGGCTTCAGATATGCTCAAAAATCGTCCCTCTAAATCAGTCGTTGCTGCAACACTCCAAACAACCTACACCAGCCCTTAGCCGTCTCTGAAAAAATAAGCTCCCTTATCTAGTCGCCTCCATGTGCATCTATCAGTTCACTTACTCTTGTGCAGCAAGGTGCATTGGCCATGGAAAAGGCTTTCCACATGGATATGAGAACAAATTTCAGCATGGGTTTACAGGAGAGGAAGGAAGGAAGGAAGGCTGTCCGAGGCTTAATTCTCGAACACCTGATCGACTTCTGTCATTAATCTACCAATCCTGACTATGATTTTAAGATCATTTATCGAATTCATGCTAACTTGAAGCTTACTCTTAGGCGTCGGTGGAACAGCGGTTAGGACGCTCGCCGACCATGCACATGGTCCGGGGTTCGATCCCCAGCCGACGCACTCCTTTACCTCGCTGGGCCAGTAATAGAATTAGCAAAGAGGGAAGGTTAGGCATGAGGCAAGCAACCCCATCCTGTAAAAATGAACACTGGTACAGAAACTTCAAGCCTCTAGCTTGAAGCCCTATGTTCCACTGGGAACGTGAAGGAATAAAAAAAAGGTGAAGCTTACTCTTCGTTCTAACATTCTAAAGACAGCGAACGCCTTGACTCTTGATAAATTCAAATTTGTGTACAAAAAGAAAGTGTGTACAGTCTCTATTTCGACTTTGGCCGTAGAGAGATAAACATTTCGTTTCGTTTCGTTTATTTAGTCTATGTATCTTAATGTTCCTATTACAACTATTATTATTATTATTACAATTATTATTATTAATTTGGACAGTTTACAGTACCGTTTGTTTTGTCACATTTGTTATTCTAAATCAACATGTATTTTTTGCAGGGTTAAAATCCATCTGCTCACCATGTTACGTAATGAATGTTTTGACTCCCTATTAATGCTATCAGTTTTACATCCCTCTTTAAGATCTATATATGGCATTATTTGTTTTATCACTACAAATACAATCACAAAAATTTAGATCACATTTCATATTATTATTATTTCAAGTATTCAAATCTTTGTTTAGATTTCTTCACGGGATATAGTTTCTTAAAAACTAATGTATTTATAGCTGAATTGTTGCTGAGCTGAAGTTCCTCTGAGGTTTCTCAGTAAAGCGACAAATAGAAAAGCTTAGCTTCTCTACACGACATAATTGTATACATGGGATGACGATTTGTCGAAGTAGACTATTTCAAAAATTACCGCAGCGATGTGTCACAATGGACTTATCGTGTTTCTGATTATTGTTGGCTGTTGGAATCACGTTGGGCGGCGTGGAAAATTATGTAGCATGAGTAGTCATTCAGTCAATAGTTAAATAGATATTTGTTTGTTTGTGTGTGTGTGTGTGTGCGTGCGTGTGGGACTCGAAACCTTTCAAATGTATTCATCATTTTTTGTCATTGAAATTCTAAACATTTTGAATGCCCCTCGATTCAAACAAGTGTCATAACAAAAAGCACACATGATCTCGCGAATGATAGTCATCTTGGAGATTTCATGAATATAACTAAATAGGCTCAGAAGCAGAATACATACAAGAAAATTACTAATACTAGTCAGCTTTAGTCAAACTATAATGGAGATATAGTAAAGGGGAATAATTATATATAAAGAGTTGCGTAATTAAACTATATATATATATATATATACTTATAAAAGAGGCTTGTCTAACACTCAAAGATTAAGAGGATGGATCGGCTGAGTGGTTGGATTACTTTCATCCATAGACAAAGTTCCATCCAACTTCTCCATGTTGATAGCGGACATGTAAGGGGCTGTGGTGGGTTATTGTTTCGCCATGTAAAGATTGATGAAGTCAAGCAACCAGTATTGACAAGATGCTTGGGCTTGGACTTCGTATTAGATTCACAACTAATTCTTTGTAACCACGCAGGGAACTTTTCATTCACTTTTTCGGGCAGAACTTAGGTCAAACAGCTGGATATGCCTAACGCTACACGAACAGCTGAACTCCCTGTGTTGCTATATATTAAAACACATTCTTAAAACGATAAATTTCTTCACTGAATTATTTTATTTCTCTTCAAACCTAGACCTATTTTTGCCAGTTTTTTTACTGACTTTTGTACTTTCGTCTTTCTGAAATACTTTTTGAATATCCGTTAGCTTAATCCAGTGGATGGAGTTTTATCTAAAGCTCTTTGATCATAAATTTTCTCTAAAATTTTCCATAGGTTTGTATTTTCTCGTTTTTTTTTTTTTTAATTTTAACAAATAAGGTTAAATATGAATATTACATAAGGTGCTACGGTGTCATTTTGGTTTAAATTTACTCTGTGAAGTATACAGCATCATTACTGTGTATATTAAATGGTGAATGAGATTATGTAAGGATGGAGAAATCGATAATTTTTCAAAGCACTCACTAAGAGGAGCTTATTTCCCATGAAACTAATACATTAATTAACACATAAAGCTTACCTACCCTTAGATTTAGTCAATAATTCGGTCTTTGTTAATATGTACAACTAGATCTTTGATAGTGTCGGTCATGACTAGAATGAGTCATCAATTTTTTTTCCCTTCACGTTCCCCAGTGGAACATAGGGCTTCAAGCTAGTGACTTGAAGTTTCTGTAGCAGTGTTTACTTTACAGAATGGGGTTGCTAGCCTCATATCCAACCTTTCCTCTTCTCCATCATTATTTCTGGCTTAGCGAGGTAAAGGAGTGCGTCGGTGGCCGGGGATCGAATCCCGGACCATGTGCATGGTCGGCGAGCGTCCTGTGCCACCGACGCACATGAGTCATCATTAGATGCTCTAAATCCAGTACACAATGAAATGATTTTGATGCATAGAAGGATTGACGTTTCATGAGTTGGAGCAATCACAGAAACAGTGTTTGGCAAATCTACTTGTCTATGGATACGTAAAGTACAACACCAAAACTAATTCTTATTATTACAGCACTTGACTATGGAAAATTCTGAGGCTTTATATTACGCCAATTGCCAGAAATTAGAATTGGTGCACCAATGAATTCCATCCCAGTGGCCGAATGGTCAACGAGGGAGGTTGCCTTGTAACTCGAAGGCCCTCTGTTCGATATCTGGTAGGGTCATGATAATATATTGCTGAAGAGTCCCAGAGGAGAACAAAATAGCTATTCACTAGTCCCTGTCTTTCAATGGTTGTCTTAACTGAAGTCAGTTTGTGGTAAGATTTCACACATATATAGTTGATTGGTAACTTGAATTGTTTATGATTTTTATTCATAAATCATTTTTTCTGTTTCTCTCATCGGTCAATCGAAAGATTCCTCAACCATCAGTTCTATGAACAATCAAACTGGATATCCTCCATATTCTGGACAAAATCATATTGGTAATGGAGTACAACAAGCATACAATTCTGTAAGTGGGTTGTTTCAACAACAATAATGATATATATATATATTCCTAATGTTTTAGAGTATTATCTTCTTCTAGTCATGTGTAGGGATTTGGATCAATTATTATTATTATTGTTCCCTTGGGTTCCTATTGGAACATAGGGCTTCAACTACACGTCTCCACTTGCTTCTGTCTTCTGCTGTACTTTTCACATGCATCCATGTTAGTCCATACTGTTTCAACTCTTCTTCGCATGATCTCCTCCATGTCACCCTTGGACATCCCACTCGCCGCTTCCCTTTCGGATTCTACTCGAGGGCCTGACGCACAATGTCACCCAGCGGCCTCCTCAGCGAGTGTCCAATCCATCTCCACTTTCTCCTGCATATTTGTTGAGCGATTGGTTCTTGTTTTGCTTGTTCCCATAGTTTCTTGTTGGTGATTCTTTCCGGCCATCTGATCTTGAGTATAGAACGAAGACAGTTATTGATAAAGGTCTGAACCAGACTGTTGGAAATATTTCCTTGTGACCCGCCAAGTTTCTGATCCGTATAGATTTGGATCAATATCGATGTAGATTTTATCAGAATTCACCACCATCAGTTAGAGCATTACTGAAAACCAAGAAGCAATGAATAACTATTTCATCGTAGTATTGTTCGACTCTTCGTCACTTCGCACACATGACTCCACCAGTAGTCGAACCTAGAGAATTCCAATTTACCAGTTCACCACGATAACTATCCAAACAAACTGATTTTGAATTCAATAATTCATGAATTTTATGCGAATTCTATCAATTCGCTCAAGATAGCTCTACTACCTCCAAACAATGCCATCGATTGGCATTCGCGCCTCACCCACTGGTCACATATTCTGATCAAGTTCTGGATGTTTTCGATCCCAAGAGCGCGGAAGGGTTAAGAGTGTGTACCAGTGTATTGCTTGATTTTCTATTATTCTATAGCCATTGTTGGTTCGTGACGTAATATGTAGCTTGCAATATTCGTCATTACTGAATACGTCAGACAGACTTCAATTTTTCACGGCTGATTTCCCTTATGTCTCTGTTTTTCCCACATTTTAACTTAGTTTTGACTATTTAGTTTAGATTATGGTATCATTTTAGGATGAGGGATAATTTTTTTCTTTTTGGCATGTCACTTTTTACACATTTCCAGATTTTCGTCTTTAATTAACTTACTTTTAAATGATAAATTAGTTTAGCTTGCCTAAGTTTTTCCACCTTTTTTTCCGTGTACTAAGCATGTGACAACTAATTCACATCTAGTTTAGATTTTCTTTGCGATTGATTGGAATGAAGTAATCGGTCTCAGGTTGACATGTTGGCTCCCCTTGTGCAGATGCTTCGACGATGTCTGATTATGTAACTTGAATGAGACCAGTTGTGCAAGAGGTGGCTCTCGTGGACTAAGTGGTGTCTAGTGGATAACGCTTTGGCGTTCGAGACTATGGGTTCGAGCCTTGGTGGGAACACCATCACTGACTGGGGAGTACAGGTACATTCAGATGATGAGTCCCGTATAGGACGAAATGCACTTCATCCTTGATTCCACTGCTAGTCACTATCAACTAATCGACTTTAAGTATGTGACAATTTGTTATTTTAAGGGCAATATGAATTCTCTCAGTTTTATTCATTTTCTCAGTCTCTTTGGATTGTATGTCCGCACACTTCTATATTTGTATGCATACACAAAAAGAAATATTGCCTGTTACACTATACTTACACGGTATTAGTACACAAAATACAAAATATTTCCAGTTCTCATGTTTCACCGTCAAAAGTGAGTAGTACGGCTACAAAAGGTTTGATGGATAATGACTTACAGTGGAATCTAGGATGAGCATTTTGTCTTATATGGGATTCGTCATCTGGATGTGTACCAGCAGTATCGCAGTGAGTATTATTTTTCTCACTGAGACTAATGTTAGTGATATCATCGGACTTTCTGTACTAGGAGCTGGCATCTCACGAGATGTCCCAAAAATTTTCAGTCTAATCAATCAAAGGGGAAAAATACAGTTGACTTAAACAGCTACAAAGATTTGTTAATTATTTTCTTGGTGTTGTCGCGTTCTCTCAACTAGACAGTTTGAATATGATGCTTTTCTCTTTTTCTTTTTGACAACATCATTAGCGCTAACTTCAAAATGAGGTGATCTTTTCGACTTCTTAATGACTTTGATAACTGTCTCTCCTGATGAACCTGAATACGATTGATTTTCTTTGAAGATTCTCTTATCTTCGTGTTCAGCTGATCTTTTTGTTGACCTAATATTTTGACCTTTTATCCATTTGACTTTTCCATTGTTTGATAAACCTGATCTCTATTAGTATTCATCTGAGTATCAGGTCTTGAAGAATTCCCTGGACATCTTGCTTTATCTTTAGTCTAAGATATTTATATTTTCCCAGTCAACGTGGTGCCCATAGTTGTCTCCATCCATTGATAGATAGGCATAGTAATCAAGTCTTTTGACAGCAACAGTTGCTGCAATTTATCTTGCATATAATGTTGATCTTGTTTTCTTTTGCCGTTGTGTTTTTTTTTGATCGAAAAGAGTTTCAATATTGTAGCAGTTATTTCGGAGGTGTTTTTCCCTGACAGCAGGATGATTTTCTCTGTGGTTTTACAGTTGGATTTTGTGTTGATTGTGTAAGTTTTTTATGAATGTGGTAGACATTTTCTGGTAAATTCAAGTGTTTGTTTGTAGGGATTTGATTGGTTACAGGATTTTCATCATGAGCTGACATTAGTTAGAGAACCATTGGAAAAGCTGGGAGTACTGGACAGCTATTTCGTCCTAGTTTGGGACTCTTCAACAGTACGCACCCACCGGGATTCGAACCCAGGACCTTCTGATTACAAGGCGAGCTCGTATACCATTAAGCCACTGAGACCCGATCCAATGGCAAGTCCATGAATTCGAACTTCTGTCAATTCACGACATAGCGCGACCACTAGCCAATGTCTTCGGCGAGTATTTGTCCTCACACCCGACTGGTCACGACTTCTCACTAGAACCCCAGGTAACTACCTACCTGAATAGGGCCAGTCGCCAGTGAGCATCTCATTGATATTCAAGTTTTGGTCTGTAGGGATTTGGTTGGTTACATGTTTTTATCATGAGCTGACATTATTTAGAGAACCATTGGAAAAGCTGTGAGTACTGGTAAAGTTATGTATATATATTGATATCTGTGAAGAACAGTCAAACTGTTTTCTACTATTCTCCCCTTAAGAGAAAATGTGCTCCAGTGTTTCTTGTCGCTATTGCATAATCTCTGCTAGATTTCTGCTATTGTCTTTGAGCATTTGACTTGTGCAGGCCACTAACTTTTCTGTACATTTGTTCTCTTGAGTTCAAGACAGTTAAAAATGAAATTCCACTCAATGACTCTTCTTCTCACGTAAAAGGGAGAGGTCATGACCAATTTAACTTTGAAGCAACCAACTTCATATTATGTGATGAAATCAAGATAACTTTTAATGGTATACATATTAGTAATTGAAATAATTTAGGAAATTATTTATCCTGGTTGTGACTAGCAGTAAAATCCAATGCGCGCATTTCATCCTATATGAGACCCGTCAGCTGGATGTACTTGTATTCCCAGTGAGTGATAGTGTTCCCATTTAGTTGAACCTTTCACCCATTGTTTCAAACACCAAATCACTACCCAGTAGGTCACAAGAACCACCTCCTGTGCAACGATGTTTCTAGGTTAATTCGAATTTCTCGTTAGTTGATTACGTTGTACCAAAATGCTTGGTCTCTGTTGGCATTCTGGCCCGTAGTACAGACTCTTCGAAGATGTCTAGAGATTATCAATGTGAAGTTATTGTGGTTGATGATGAGTAGTGGTGGAATCCAGGATAACCACCACTCTCTCTAGGAATGCAGGTACATCCAGCTAATGAGTCAAAAATAGGACGAAACTTTCATTGAGGTGTCTTTGGCGAGTCGGAGTTAATTTTTTCTATACATCTAAGTGACTATATATCGTTAGTTGTTTCATGATCACTTGGTATATGCACATTGACCTCAGCTTCTTATTCTTTCTATTCGGCTAATATTTGAAAATGACTTTGTCTTACTATCTTGGTCTTTTCATATTTGTCTTCCATTCATTTTTGTCTATGAAATTTAAGTGAGTGCTCCCATGGTTGTTTGTTAACTGTGTTGAACAGTCCCAAATTCAGCCTTAACTATTTATTCATTGAAAAAACATCTGTTGTATATTAGTGTAGAATTTATAATGTAGGTGGGAAAATACATTTGCTAATTGGGATGGAATTGAACTAGAAATGTGAAGTTTTTGATTATTAACGTGATTGTGTATTTCATTCCCCTTTACGTTCCGAGTGAAATATAGGGGGCTTAAAGCTTGTGATCTGAAGTTTCAGTAGTGGGCTTACCATATCGACCAAGCGGTGTAGTAGGAGTGAGTCCGCCGGGATTCGAACTCATACTGTGTGTGCGTAGCCGGTGAGTATTCTACAATTCAACCACCAAACCGTCCTTACTGTTGTGTCTGTTTTTTTTTTCTGAATATACTTCATAACAGACTATGGTCCTTATTAATTTGTTTATAAGATATATCTCACAGTGAAACAGTATGATTTACTGGATGACGAAGTCTCCAACACAATTTATTGTTATTCAAGTATTGGTTTGTAGGCATTTGGTTGATTCGTTACAGGATTTCATCATGAGCTGACATTGGTTAGAGAACCATTGGAAAACCTGGGAGTACTGAACAGCTGTTTCGGCCTAGTTTGGTACTATTCAGCAGTACGCACCCACCGGGATTCGAACCCAGGACCTTCTGGTTACAATTTATTGTTCATAATCATATCAATTATAACCACACAACTTGTGGTTGACATGTTGGCTCTAAGTGGGAACGTTTCAACGATGTTTGAGCATTAAAATGAAGTAATTTGGTGAATGGCGACTAGCAGAGGGATCGAGGCTGTGCATTTTGTCCTATT